AGTCAAAATTAAACATATACATAAAAATACAAAGACTACACATTTTAACGAATTTTGAAGTGAATTATGGCGTTTTATACGATTTTTTTGGAATAATTGTATTTTGTATGATTCATATTCTGGTCGAATCATATCCTAAATAGTAAAGATTAATCATAACTTACGAATAAACGCTTTATAATCATAATAAAAACTATTGAAAATATATATCATAGTGAAATACCCAAACAAAAGTGAAAATTTCAAAATGGGAAGAGATTATATACAAAGAGAATTAGAGAAACAAAAAAAAAAACTTGAAAAATGTGCGGTGTTGTTGGTTGGTGTGCCGTGAAGAATGCAACAACACAACCTGTCATCGTAAAAAATCCAGGTGCGGGTGACGAAAGGAGAACGGTGCTACTACATGTGAGACTAGCATTACCCAGTGGGGGCAGTTATGATTGAGCCAGTCAGTATGGAGCCTCTTTTCTTTTGCCAGTGCATTTGATCTGTTCCCTTTTCTTTTTAAGTGTATAACTTTTTAATCTCTTTACCAAAACTACACATATACTTTCATTTGTATATGTACTCTTTCAGTTTATGTAAACCACAACATTTTCAATTTAATTGATTTTCTTTAATATAGAAACTAGCTTAATCGAAATTAAAACAGTAGATAGTCAATTCTAGTAGAATAATTATAGTTGAGGAATAAGGTACAGTTGATAAGAGTTGGAGAAACATTCATAAAAGATAGTATAAGTGAAGCAAAAGAATCTTGTGCGCTTTTATAATATTGACACTTGAATGTCTTTTTAGTGTGTCAATTGAAAATTTTATACGACTATGCCAGGCCTGTCTGAGCCATTTGGGGTTGTTAACCGGATCAAGATTAATTATTGTTAGATTACAAGAATTCTCATTCACATTCCATGCCAAATAGGCCCGGCCCATAGGACAGGCGGGCTAGGCCATTGCTTTGGGCCACCATTTAAAAACAAAAATTTAGGGCCACATATTTTTCATAATTATAAGTCTACAAATACAAATTTTAAAGCCCAATGTATTTTGACAAATTGTTTTCAATCATTAATATATATGAAACGTGATTAGTTTTTTTTTCTTGTTAATCAAACAGATTATAAAAATCGAAAACATCTATAATATCTTTAGAAAACCTAAAATCATCCGATTAAAAAATTGTCGCCATCGTTTGCTGCTCTGCTTTCTTCTTCACCAAATCGATCAAGTAAGTTGTTCATATTTTATGATTCTTCA